TCTTGACTGCAAGGCATCTTGGTGTGTTCTGGGAGCACAAAGTGGAAGACATGATCATTGTGTTCTAGGGGGTTCAGAAGGGAAGGTCACCCCTACACCTGGAAAAGTAACAATGCAACCCGGTTGCAAAGTGCTCAAGATAGCATGGGAAAATACACCCTCCTGGAGCAGCTCCAAGTTCCAGAACTATCCCACCTGCTCACCAACTGTGGGATTTGGCAACTAGCTTCACTCATCTGACCTCTGAGGTTCAGCGCTATGGTCTGTTAGAAAAATGGGGCTAGATTCTGCCTTCCCTCCCTCACAATGGCGTCTGTGAGGATCACGATTGCAGGAGACCCATGCAAACCACACCCGCTAGGTAAGGTACAAAACCAGTGCTGTGCTATTGGGTAGGCTCAGGGCAGATGGCGCATGATTGTGGTACTATTCGGGCAGATGGATTCTTACAGATACTTAGGATTTAAGCTGGACCTTTCAAGAATGTAAGGACGGAGCGACCTGAAGAGTATTCCCGGCATATGTTAGAAGCAGGAGTGGCAAAGATATATTTGCAAGACAGAGAGTATATCTCATTAATCTTCCTTTAGACTGAACATCATAAATGCTGTGAGTGCATGTGGGGGAAGGGGGGGCTGACATTACATATACATCTCTCTAACCTGATTTTGCTACAGAACATTAAAACCAATCATGGGAAGGTGCCGCGCTGGAAGTCTGTCGTGTGTTAGTCTTTATGCCTGTGTCTGCAGATGGAGCCACCGTATATCCTTGCTTCCAATTTTTGTCTTAAGTCTAACTCTGAATAGTAAGCCCTCTTAGCCCATGCCCTTCCAGTCATTTGAACACTCTTGTGTTCTTTGCTTTTCTTCCCTTTCCCATGTACATATCGGGGGCCCGCAGCTGGATCACAAGGGTCCTGAAGGTGGGAAGGCTTTGCACTCATGCCACCTCACAGAGCCTGGCAGGGAGGTCTGCTCCTTATTGGTGTAATGCTGTGATGCCCACAGACCCTTCTTCCTTCTTAATGTTCCTGGACTCACTGCTTCTGACACTCACACCCACCTGCAGTTCCGCTGGTAGACTTTAAAGTATCCTCCGCAAAGTCATTCAGGTAGAGAAAAAGCCAAATGGGTTTTTAAGGCTTCTGAAAAACCTATGATTTTGTGCTGAGTTACCATATCAGAGTCACTAATGTCAAGATGCCCTGATCTTCCTGTATTTTATGTTTGATTTGAAATGGCTAAATACTAAATTCAACTCTGAACCCAAAATACAAGTCTGAGTCTGTTACTCCCCTGCTTAAATCCTTTCATTGGTCAAAATTAGGTCATTGAGATCCAACTCTTTACTACGGCTTGTGAGGTGCCTCTCGATCTGGTCCCCACCTTTACCTCCCATCCCTGCCTTCCAGTGCCTGAACCTTTCCCTGGGCTCCTTGCAGCCCCCAGATCATTTCAAAGCCTGGCAGATCGAATGGAGCGTTCTCTCCTGCCCCCGCTGCCCCTTCCTAGCACCCATTCACCACTATTCAATCTTCAGGTTTCACTGAGCTGGATCGCAAGAATTTTCCCTGGCTTGCAGAGCCTGGAGAAGGCCTGACACTTCCTGCTCAGAGGTGGGGCTGTCTCTTGTCACTGGTCAGGTTCCCTGGGATGCAAACTCAGATGAAGATTTGTATTGGAGGGAATGCTCATGGGATCGGTCCCCCTGAGAAGAGAAGGGGAAGAAACAAGCCTGGCCAAGGAGACGTTGGGCTCTGTCAATCCTCTTCAGCTAAAGACCACCAGGAACAATACCTGGGGTTCCACAGATCGAGTCTATGACTCGCTGCACAGTGTGAGATGCACACCGTGGAGAACCACGGGCCTCTCAGTATGAGTGTTAGACGCCAGTAGATAGCATTTGGACTTCGGTTAGGAGAGTTGGGAGAAGACCTAAGGTTCCCTCTAGATTGCACGCTGCTAGAGCAATCTAGAAAACAAAATGGCAGCATGTCTATGATGCATCTCCATAAATCTTACCCCTAGTGGGGAAGGGTAGAATGAGGATATGGCTGGAATGGTGAAGAAGTAGCAGCCGCTCATTCTGGCCAAGAAGGGGTGAGGGGAGAATTTGTTATTGTCCGAGTGGCACAGTGACCTTGTCTTTATGCTTAAATGAAACTGTGAAGAGGGCTTGCTTCATCTCATTTTATTATGATCTCAGAGTAGCCTCATCATTTGTGTGGAATTCTGTGAAGTTGTTTATGTTCCTCAGGAGAATAACGTGGCCCAGCTGTGAGTGCTAGTCTGGCTTCCGATTATGAGGGCCTGGTCTTTTCTCCTTTCTCCTGTGATGCAGGCTCAGCAGGTTCCTCAGCGGCTCCCCAGAGGAGGCTCCCAACCCAGGTGACTGCAGAGTGCTCTGGTCTCCTGATGGGGCTAGGGCGGCAGGCCTTTACGCTCCCACCATCTGTCGGTCACTGGAGGCAGGCTGCCCCGAGAAAGAAGGGCAGCCGGGATTGGTGTGGTCTTTTCAGCTGAGGCAATTCTGGACAAGAGCCCATCTGTGGCCTGAGTGATGGCACCCCCTGGCAGCAGAGGCCCTGGTTTGCAGGGTGGGCGGGGGGCGAACCAGAGCAGCCACTCTGCCTTTGGCTTCCCTCTCCTCTCTGTGTGAACATAAGCTCTGGGATGACCAGGACGGAGGCTCTCTGTGGGGGAAGGGGGGCTGACATTACATATACATCTTTCTAACCTGATTTTGCTACAGAACATTAAAACCAATCACGGGAAGGTGCCGCGCCTTATGAAGCTCTCCATATGAAGCTCTCCATAAATATTTGCCACATAAATTAATGAGCTGAACGTCATGAGATCTTGGTTTTCCATTTGACTGAATGTTCTACTCCTAGTCTTTGCATATAACCTTTTCTTTCCAATTGACAACTTAATTCCTGTGGACTATTAGTCACCATCTAGCTTATCTAGAGCAATAGTGCTCATCAGTGAATGGGTGGTATGAATTAGTTACCAGAGAAGTTTTTTCGAAGTATCTCTGCTTGGCCCCCAAGGAGACCCTATTCTGTCAGGATTTTGATTCAGTTAAGTCTAGAGTGGTGCTCAGCTATGGGTATTTTGAAAAAACTCCCTAATATTGAGTCTGTTTCCATTACTACCTGCCCTTTCCCCTCCAAAAAGAAGTAGCTTCAAGTTTGGTGGTGATTTCTTAAATTGGCCTTCAGGAATCAGGGAACATTATTTTTTTCACTTCTTCCCCCTCAGACATAGTTCTAAAGAGCCAAACGCGAAGTTATGTCATGGCCAAGCTGAAGAGCATTCTACTGAGACATCCTCTACAACAACTAACATTTTCCAGGCACATGAAATCTTTATTTTTTTTTTTAAAGATTTTATTTATTTATTTGAGAGTGAGAATGAGAGAGCATGAGAGGGGGAGGGTCAGAGGGAGAAGCAGACTCCCTGCCGAGCAGGGAGCCTGATGCGGGACTCGATCCCGGGACTCCAGGATCATGACCTGAGCTGAAGGCAGTCGCTTAACCAACTGAGCCACCCAGGCGCCCCGCACATGAAATCTTTAAAAAAAAATTCCTTCTTACAATTACAAGACTCCTATTTAAACTGAAAGCCTCATCCCTGGGTCTTCCAATGACTCTCTGGAGATGGAAAGATTTCCAGTACATGTAAATAACATGCTAGCCTCTCCACCACCACAGACCCCTAGAGCCACTGCTTTTGGATTCAAAGCCACATTCACCTCTGTAAATATGATTCTTTAGAAGCCATACCCAAGCCTGCCCCGTGGCAACATGGGAAGCAGGTGAATTTGTCTTGGGCCTCTTTTCCGTTTCCTGTCCATCAGTTTGTCTTATAGCTTTGTCTCTCATACTCAGGAGGAGAGCCAATGCCGATCTAGAAAACTTCTCCTTCCCAAAGAGATTTACATTATAAAAGACTAAACAATGGGAGGATGCTGGTGATCATGACCTTCTATATAATCTCACAATAGCCTGCTTATGTGTCTGCCTGCCCCATCTGTCTGTAAGGAGCTTCCTGCTGGAGGGGTGTGCAAGAGGGTGGGAGGACTGTGTCTTTCTCCTCTTCGCATTTCTGTGCTGACGCAGACAGGGATGTTTACAAATGAATGAATGCATGCATGAACGAATGAATGCATGCATGAGCAACTGAATGCCTGTGCAGGGGTTGTAGGAGGAATGTAAGCATTGGGTTGACCTTGACAAAGTCTTAGATGCATCCTAGTCACCTGGCACATATTTGTTGTTTTGTTTCAAACTTGAAATAGCTAAATGAAGAGCCTTTGAAACAGACGTCCATGCTTTCAAGAAGCTTCTAAGCAGAATCTTGCAGCTGTGATACTGATACATCATCGTGGGGCATTGTTCTCAGTAATTTTTAAAACAAAATGACTGAGGGCGCCTGGGTGGCTCAGTTGGTTGAGCTACCGCCTTCGGCTCAGGTCATGATCCTGGAGTCCCTGGATCGAGTCCCGCATCGGGCTCCCTGCTCGGCGGGAAGTCTGCTTCTCCCTCTGACCCTTCCCCCTCTCATGTGCTCTCTCTCTCTCTCATTCTCTCTCTCAAATAAAATCTTTAAAAAATAATAAAAAAATAATAAAACAAAATGACTGAAGTTTGAAAAGTATTTGAGATAGAACATATTTGTATCTTTAAAAGATAACTTGAGTAAACTCTGGATTAGGCTTATAACACAAATCTATCCTGAACCACGTCTAGCTTTGCTTTGAACTGCTGACCCGTGTGCCACCTCGGCGCTGCCCTTGCATGCTCGAGAGGTCCCAACAACACGCGTACGCACTCACTGTCCACACAGCTCAGGTGCAGTGGTACAGTAACTAGGGAGCGATTCATGGGTGGGGGATAAACACTTGGAATGTCTGGTCTGTTTTTTATGCCTCACTGATATTAACATTTATGATCATTTTTTGATTAAAGACTAATATATGTTTATTATCCTAGGAAAATTATAGGGAAGCAGAAAAGAAACAAAGAAGAACTAAGAATCATCACATCACCCAAAGATGATCACAAGTATTATTTTGAAAGGCCGCATGTCCTTTTAACATTTTATATATATATTTAAGCAAAATTGGGACCATACAGTCCAAACTCCTTTGTAACTTGCTTTTTTCTCATAGTGATCACGAACGTTTGTCATGACTTCACATTTTCTTCTGCCACGTTGCTCCAAATGGCTGCACAACAGTTCTTTCCTTGAATCATTTTCCTTCTGTTCCTCATTGTGGGACGTTTCTTTAAACACTTTCCTGATGTTGAATTTTTAGGCTGCAGCAAACATCCATGAAGAAATCTGAATGTTTCCTGGAATTAGAATTCCTAGGTCAAAAGCTATATGCATGCATAAGGCTTTTAAAATACATTGTCAAATTTCCCTTCACTATTTGCCACGTCCACTTACGCTCCTGCTGGTAGTCATCCTAGAATTTATTTTCTAACACACTTAAAGGTCACTTTCATTTGGTACTTTTGCAATCGTACCACTTGCATTCAAGGGCTGGGTTCCAGGGTATACTCTATGAAGTGATCCTGCCTATTGGCTGAGTCTTTAGCAGCGAAAGGTATCACACATCTCCTAATTAAGTTTTAATAAAACAGTAGGATGGTAAAAGATTTCTTGACTTCTTCAACTCCAGAAGTGCAGCATGGGAAAGTGGATTAGTCATTTCTAATCATAAATATTTTGAGAGAAACTCATTATTTTGCTTGTATGTCTTTTTCATCTGGATGGCCAGGAATAGCATATTCAAATTCGTAATTGTTTCTACTTTCCCATTGTCGAGTACCCAAGCACAAGGTAAGTATGATTTGGTCTCCAGCGTGGTGGGGAAATGTTTACGATACAACCCAGATATTTTCATCTTGTTTGTATGGGTTGAATGAAAGCCTTTCTAATTCTCATGAGGATGCAACATCTCATATGAGATGTTTTTCATTTTAGCCCAGAGTGAAAGCTGCGCGGAAACTACTTGACAGTATTCTTCTCTCTTAGTAACATTAGATTCCCAAGATGCAACAGGTTTTCAGATTTATTATTCTCCTATAATGAAGAAACTCAAGGATACTCAAACCTGTAGGAGCTTTTTTTTTGACATCTTTCTTTCAAGGTAACAGCTTCGCTGCAATTTGTTTAGTATGCACCTGCTTATTAGTGGTAGCTTTTTGTGAAACTGTGGTTATCAAAAAAGGAGATATATAGTGAAAAGCAGCTGCTCCAAATCACAAACTATTCATAAATAGCTTTACCCGCCCCCCCCAGAGTGAGGCCCTCTCTTCTCAAGTCGTAACAGTCAGCAGAAAATTAAAACCCCATAGGATGATAAATACTTTAAGAAATATTTCTCCCCAGTGTTTCAAATGCTGTCTTATAATGCGGTGCACTCTCACTGAACCAGAAATTGTCTGTAATAAAAGAATATTGGGGGAAAGTGTTTAGATTCTCATTGAATTCTAGAACTTAGAAGGAGTGTTCTGTTTTCACCGTTAAAGGTTAATAGCTGAATATATGTCATAAGCTTCAATAAAATGAGAGCTTTTGGTTCTATGCCCCCAATAAACACCATTTTTAACATATAAAATCTGGAGACCTTTCTTCCTAATTTAAAATAACCACTGGGGCACCCAGGTGGCTCGGTCAGTAGGCGTCCGACTCTTAATTTCAGCTCAGGTCGTGATCTCAGGGTCTTAAGATTGAGCTCCGCTGTGGGCTCCGCACTGGATGTGGACTCTGCTTGGGATTCTCTCTCTCTGCCTCTCTCCCTCTCTAAAAAATATGACGAAATAAAATAAAATAAAATGAAATAACTGTCAAATGAATTGCCTGGCAATAGCAAATGATTGCTTTTTAAAAATACTATAAATATTTCATTTTTAAAAATCACTCAAAAGAAAAGATCACTTCTTTCAGCTGCCTTTTGACTTAACACCATCTTTTCTATGCACGCAGGGAGCAAATATGAGGGTTCCTGGCAATTATGCTGATGTCTATTATGGCTATTAATCATCTGTTTATACATTGACCATTCTCCTAGAGGCTCTCTGAAATTGCAGCTCTCTTCCTTTTTTAAAGGAAATCGAAGCATCACAGAAATAATTTTAGAATTTTCCCAAGACCTGTTGAGATCGAAGTGAGCTCTAAATGAACCATGCTATAAACTCATTGTCAGTTCTAGACTGTGATCTTCTACTTGAATCAATTTATTTCCGCTAGAGGTTACTTCAATGTCTGTCTTTCCTGTAGGTGATTCTTTTTAAACTATTAGTAATCACCAATATCTACAGAAGAGAATCTCAGTTGTAAATGGCTTGACTGAGTCTAGAAAATGAGACTTTGTTCTTACCCCAGCTGACTGATGTCTCAACAGTCCTTGAAATTTTATCTATTCTTTCGAGTGTATGTGCGAAACAAAGAATTGAGCTTGTTTTCCACAGTCTGAGTCTTCCCTGAAACAGATGGAGCTCGTGCTTATCTGGATGGGGAGGATACTGAGGACTCCCACCTTGACGTTGCAATGAAAACTTTCCCTCCAATCTCTAAATTCTCTCATCTGGCACAATAAATTAGAAAAGCCTGCTGTTCCCTTTGGTAGGCTGACAGAGTGCCCCCATGTTAGATTAATATCCAGAAATCATCTCTTCTCTGGTGTAGCAGAAGGCAGATGATGAGTCCCAGATGTTTCTGCAAGACTGTCATTCCCAGACATAATAGATTACATCAGGGAAACCGACAATAAAGAGTTGTGTACTTTCTTTTTCTTTCTTTCTTTTTTCCCTCCTTCCTTCCTTCTTCTTGTTTCCTCCCTCCCTCCCTCCCTGCCCTCCTTCTCCTCCTTTCTCTCTCTTTCTCTCTCTCACACACACACACACTCATCTTTTTCTTTCTTTTCTAATGGATTCAGAAGGTTTGAACATTGACTAATAACCTCACTTTATGGAATAACTTGCCCCATATTCCAGGCCCTGAAGGCTGTAAGACTTTGGCTGCTTGGAGGTATTTCAGGTATGGCAAACTTGGACCTCACGTAGGAACATGGAGTGGACTGTGGGATGAATAACACCTCAGGGCAGTGGTCCACTGGCCATGTGTAGCCATGGCTGAGCCTCCTGCAATTCTATGTTGGAGATAAGAGCTGTGGTTGATTCCTCCCTACGTGCTTTATCCCTTGCTCCCTTAAAATCATGGGGAACAGCTAACAGAGCTCCCTAGAAAATTCTAGCAAGACTTCAGCTGCCTGAGGGAAAGTGAACTTAATAATACTTGAACTTCCCTTATTTCTCCAGTAGTATGCTAAGCACTTTTCATACGGATGATGGCCTTAAAGATGAATACATTCCCCCTGATTTCATAGTTGAGGGGTCTAAGATTCATGAGAGCACATGGTCCTTACTCATGGTACAAAGCTAATGGGACTGGGAATCCAGGCTACAAATCCAAACTCGTCTAACTCTAAAGCACCTGTGTTGGTCCTAAGTACAACCAGCACAGCTGACGTCAGGCTATCAGCATGATGTCACCAGTCCTGCTGGATTGGGAAGAGGTGTGCACAATTTACCCTGGGAACCCTAGTGATGGCTCGGCACATACTAGCTGTGCACCTGGAGCCTGGGATTCCACGAGCCTCCTGGTAATGTTGGGGGAAGAACATGGACAGGGACAGAAATGAGCCATAGGACCTTCCTATGGTGATAGAGTTTAGAAAGTTCTAACTGCAAGGTTGTCTCTTTTATTGCTCTTAAGTTTCATCCACCTGGGACGTGCTGGAATTTCTCTTAAGTGAAGGCATCTTCCAAACTAAACTAGAGAACAGACAGGAAAGCAAATGCCATGCTAGAGCACTTCCTGGGTTGCCTTTACTCGAGTATACCTGCTTCATAATATTATAAATCTGTGCACGCCACTTTCCTATTCTGTGGTTTCCCATCTAACTGTACGAATAGATGGTGACTGGAGACTTACTCACATTCGTTTTGGAGGAATTAGGCTCTGAGGGAGAAGAGGGGAGTGTACCGGGACTCTTCTCAACCTTCTCTTTCAGCTAGCCCACTTGTGCTCACAACTTAGTCAATCATAGGCAGTCGGGCAGAAGGTAAATTGAAACTATCCACTCCCTTTCTTGCTGATGAAAGTAAGCAGCTTTTCAGAGCCTGGAAAGATTGAGCCTGCTCCTTGTTCCAGCCCCACCACCCACTCTCCCTTAGCGTGCATGGGTGCAGAGAACGTATGCAGAGCTTCTGCCTGAGCTCAGGTGGATAGATAGCTTACGTAACTTACCACTTTCAATTCTTTTGATCACTCTATAGGGATAACATAAGGTGGTTGGCAACCTCTCCTTTCCAAGAAAAGGAAATCTGTACTTGGAGGTCAGTTATATTGTCCAAAGTCATATGGCTAATAAACAGCAGAGTTGGGAATCAAATGTCAGCCAGTCTTCCCCCAAAGCCTGGATCTCTCAATGACGTCACACTGCCTCATGTACTTTTAGAGCAACAGAAAGCTGCTCATTTGCATTCTATTTATATGACTGAGTCAGTTATAAAGCTCATGATTCCACTGTCTTTGGTATATAGCATGCCAAAGCAGGTTCACCAAGGGTCGTAACAGAACCCATTCACAGACTAACCACAATGTTTCTTACAGAAGACAGACTTCAGAGCAAAATAAACTACACAAACCCTGCTGAATGTCTTTCTATGAAGCCAGGCCATAAGAAAGTTTCTTTTTAAAATAATATTTAACTTTTTTGCCTCTGTTTATAAAAATAATAATCACCGAAAAATAATCTAGGAAAATACAAGGAAGAAAATAAAAACCACCCATAATGTTAACACTATGACATACAGTTTTAATTTTACAATTGTATATATATAGTGTATATATACACACACTATATATACAATCCTATTTAATTAACTCAGACTAATATATATACAGTTGTGGGGTTTTTTTTAACCTTGGCATTATCTCTGACCATATGGCCAACCGTCAGCCCTTCCACGGATCAATGTAGGGCCTTACTCTAGGCCCGCTCCTCTTACAGGCAGAGTGCTGCCCACTGGGAGGATCTCCTTTCCGCAGTGTCCAGGGCTACCCCTACGTGGGGCCATAATCACAACAGTCCACTTTGGGCTGGTGCTGGCATATGGCACAGAGCCATCTAAATCGGGCTTGAATTGTTACCCTCTGTCGTCAGCTGGTCATTGGGAACCTGCCCTGGGGCAATGGGTACGGGTGAGGTTGCCAGTGTGGCCAGGGTACATATACCAGGCACGTGAGTGACTTGCTTTTGGGCCTTATTCGTACCTTCAGGAACTGTTAGGCATGGGCCTGTATAGATCAATATATCATCTTTCTGTAATGGTCGAGCACTTCTTGGAATTTCCAATTTTATGGCCGAGTGGATCAAATAACAACCAGCTCATGAATGGCAAATATCAGGTATCTGGTCACTTGGTGTCCCATGGCCAGCTGTCTCCTCCAGGGCCCAGTGGCAAGCCAGGAGCTGTTACTGTCAAAAAGAGAAGAATTATTTGTTGGAGGCCTAGCTTTGCTCCTAACTCTTATTAAAGTCCTTCACTTCTGATGCTCTCACTGAAACCTCAACGGGCCCCCAACAACATCCTGATGCGCCCAGGCCTTCAAGCGCCGTGGTGTTTCTGGAGCCAGGAGGTTCTAGCAACGGCACCCATTGCTCTGCACCCCGATCAGCATAAGGTATTGTCCTGGCTCTGATCTCACTCAAGGTTGGCAACTGCTCATATCACCAGCATTGTGTTCTTTTTATTACCCTTGCATTTAAATGTTTCTATGTTTTCTCAATTTACTTTTCATCAATTATCAAAGTCAACATTATGCATAATCCTGATTTCCCCAATAAAAAATGAGCAAATTCCCCTATATTTCCCCTTCTACCATCTTCTCCCTCACCATTTTCCAGACTTTGTAAGAATCCAGCTTGTGGTTTCTGACATTGATTTGCTTATGTATCTTCTTAACTATGAAAAATCTAAATTCATTTACATTTACTTATTTACAATGATTTTTTGAGATTGAACACTACTAACTGGTTTTAATGACAGGTGGCCAGTTATTTTATTCAATGAATCACCAGTGCTAGAACTGGAATGATAATCATCTTTCAGTCTATTGCAATACATCTTCAGGTAAGTTTTTAAGAAGAACACAGAGATGATATGATTTCTTCGTTCTTGAAGGTATAAGATAGTTTTTCTGAAGCCTTCACCAAAGAAAAATAACTTCTTGACTGAGGATAAAAATCTTAAGCCACAAGGACAGTACACCAAAGTTGTATAATTATTATTTCATTTCTTCTGACACCTAACATAGAACCCCCGAAAATCTAAATCCAGTTTGCTAGTCCAGTTTGAGTTTTGTTCTCTTTTGAAGGACACTCTCTTTTATAATTAAATATGCTTAGAATTTTTTTATTTGTTGGACAGCATTTACAAATTATATATATACATTAATATTTCAGAATTACAAAATAGTTGCAAGAATAAGATTAGTATAAAAAACACCCAAATACCTTTAACGCAGATTCACCCATCACTGATATCTGGTCCCGTTTGTCTTCGTTCTCACTCTTTCAGAGTAACACTCACACGCATGTGCGCAGATACACACAGCGTGCACGCACAACGTGCACGCACGTGCGCACAAGCTTTCGCGTGCACGCACACTTGTGCAGATGTGCGCACGTATGCGCACATACGCGCGTGTGCACGCACGCACGTGGGTACGCGTGCGCACACACAACTCTCTTCTGAACTGTTTGAGGGTAAGTTAATTACCTTTTACCCCTAAATACGGCAGTGAATTTCCTAAGACTAGGGAGAATCTATTTGCAACTTCGGTAAATTTAACACTGAAAAGATATTTTTTCCCTAATCTAACCATCGATATTCCAATTTCATCCATTGACCTAATAATGCCCTTTTTATCATGTGTTTCCCCTTTGCTGTGTTTTCCATTGTTGATTTTTTTTTGTTCCTGGAAGGGTGGAGGGGGGACTTGGAACCAACTGACTGCCATTTTTCTCAAACCTAGATCTCTCTACAGGCGTGAGTACCTTTTTATTAATACTGCCTGTAATATAGTGCGCTCTTTCCAATTTTATGCCCAGATTATTTTTTTACTCCAGAAATTTTTGTTTAATTATGTCTTTGATAATTGATTCTGGTTCAGCTTTTTAAAAAATATTCTAACAAAGAATTGGGATCTTTGTTCTCTTTCCTTCCTATCCATCATCTCTTTTATATATACACTACCTCTTTCTTCTTTTTCTCTGTGGTCTGGGACAATGTCTTGTTTGTCCTCGATATCACTGCTTTAGTTTTCCACACATGATACCAGTTTGTATTAGTTAGCTAGAACCCAAATCTCAGTAGTTGAGCATAATAGATGTTTATTTTTTAAATTCAACTTGTTTAAGCAAAAAAAAAAAAAATGTTTATTTTTTACTCAAGTAAAAAAAGTGTTCATGAGTGGAGGGAAAGTTTTTCACAAGCAGTGATTTAGGGATTAGGCCTCCTTTCATCTTATAGCCGCACTACTGCTAGGATCTCAAGAGTTCTCTGCTAGATCCTCAGCATCTGATTGGAATAAACAAAGAGAGTGTGGAGGATGTTCCTATGGGCCTGACCTGGAAGTGGTGTGTATCTCTTCATTCCACGTTTTACTGGCCAGACCTTAGTCATGAGGCCATGTCTACCTGCAGGGGAGAACAGGAGATGTTGTTGTGTGCTTAGGAAGAAGTGGAAGCAAGTAGGCCAAGATAGAGCTGTGTTAGCAAAACATCGCTCTTTACTGATTCCAATTCAGATTTTTAATTCTACAATTGTAATTATAATTTTGAAATTATGGCTTTGAATCTATTCATTTCCACTTTATTTTCAGCTTGTTGCTCTTGCAGCTTATCAAGTTATCAAGTCTTTATTTTGTCTTTCTAATTCTTCCTGTTTATTCTTCTATTATGAATGCCAGTTATTTTTCTGGTTGTAATAAATTCTTTCTCCTGCATCATTAAAATTACATTCTATCCCTTGTGTTCTACAGTTATTTCCCATAGAAACTCTGTTGGTTATTTTCTGTTTATTCATCCTCAAATAGAGAGTAAGCTATGTAATTTTGAGTTTTGGATGAGTGGGTTTCTCTCAGCTCTACTTAATGTTCTTCAGTAACTATTGCTGGAGGGGATTTTGATGTATACAACTCCCAACTCAATTTCTGTTGCCTGTTATGTAATCTTCTGCTATAACTTTGCTTCACTCATCTGTGGTCAGTCATTTGCCTACCCTTGCTGCTTGTCTCTGGTAGAATTTCCCAGGAGGATTGATCAACAAGCTCAGGCTTCAGGCCGGTCTGGAGTTCACCTGTGCAAATGTTTTTATTGTTATGAATATGTAATTATTGTTCATTACAAAGTCACAGAGTCACTCGAGCAACACTATAAACCAGCTAACCTAACAGACATATACAGAACATTCTACCCAACAACAGCAACATATACATTCTTCTCAAGGGAATAGGAAAAGATTCAAAGCAATCCCTCTCAAAATCACAATGTATCCCCCCCCATTTTTTCAGAAATGGAAAAGCTGATCCTAAAATTCATATAAAATGACAAGAGATCCTGAGTAGAAAAAACAATATTGAAAAAGAACAAAGTTAGGGGACTCACACATTCTGACTTCAAAATTTACTGCAAAGCTACAGTAATCAGAAAAGTTGGGTGTTGGCATAAGAATAGACATAGATCAATAGAACAGAATTGAGATTCTAGAAATAAATCCATACACCTATAGTCAATTGACTTTTGGCAAGGGCCCCATATCTAATTAATGGAGGAAAGAGTAGTCTTTTCAACAAATGACACTGGGACAAAAGTATATCCAAATGCAAAAGAATGAAATTGGACTCTTACCCAACGCCAGATATAAAAATTAACTCAGGGCTCCTGGGTGGCTCAGTTAGTTAAGCATCTGACTCTTGATTTAGGCTCAGGTCATGATCTCAGTGTTGTGAGACTGAGCCCTGTGCTGGGCTCCATGCTGGGCATGGAGCCTACTTGCTTAAGAGTCTCTCTCTGTCCCTTCTCTCTCTTTCTCCCCTCCCCCCCCCAAATTAAATAGACAAATAAAATAAAATTACAAAAAAAATTAACTCAAAATGGATCAAAGACCTAAACATAAGAGCTAAAACTATAGAACTCTTAGAAGAAAACATAGGGGAAATCTTCATCACATTGGATTTCGCAGTGATTTCTTGGATATGACAGCAAAAGAACAAGTAACAAAAGAAAAAATAGGTAAATTGGACTTCATCAACATTAAAAACTATTGTGCACCAAAGAACAGTATTAATAATGTGAAAAGATAACCCTCAGAATTGGAGAAAATATTTGCAAATCATGTATATGATAAAGATTAATATGCATAATATATAAAGAACTCCTATAACTCAACAATAACAAAAATCCAAATGACACAGTTCAAAGATGGACAGACAACTAGAATAGACATTTTTCTAAAGAAGATGTACAAATGTCCAAATAGTACATGAAAAAGATGCTCAACATCACTGTCATTAGGAAAACGAAAGTCAAAACCACAATGAGATAGTACTTCAAATTCATTAGAATGTCTATTATTTTAAAAATGGAAAAATAACAAGTGTTGGTAAGGATGTGGAGAAATTGGAGCACTTGTCCCTGTAGGTGGGAATAGAAAATGGTACAACTACTGTGAAAAATGTCTTGGTACATACTCAAAAAATTTAAACATAGAATTGCCATTATCATCTAGCAATTCCATTCCCAGGTATATACCCCAAACAATTGAAAGCAGAGACTCAAACAGATACTTGGACATGAATGTTTATAGCAGCACTCTTCACAATAGCCAAAGAGTGGAAGCAACCCAAATGACCATCAAGTGGTAAACGTGTTTCCATACAATGGAATACTATTCATCCATAAAAAGAAATGAAGTACGAATACATGGTACAAAGTGAATGAGCTTTGAAAACAGTGCGCTAAGTGAAAGAAGTCATACATAAAAGACCATATATTGTATAATTCCATTTTTATGAAATATCCAGAATAGGTAAATCCATAGAGACAGAAAGCAGAAAAGTGGTTGCCAGGGAAAAGAAGGATGAGAGTTGGGCTGACTACTTAATGGCCATGGGGTTTTCTATTTCTACAGTTGACCCTTGAACAATGCATGGGTTAGGGGCGTTGATCCCACACACAGTTGAAAAGTCATGTATAACTTTTGACCCCCCCAAAACTTAACTACTAATAGTCTACTGTTATCCTGAAGTCTTACCAGTAACATTAATAGTAGTTTAGCACGTATTTTATATGTTATAGGTATTTATACTGTATTCTTACGATAAAGTAAGCTAGCAAAAAGAAAACGTTATTAAGAAGATCATAAGGAGGAGCGCCTGGGTGGCTCAGTTTGTTAAGTGTCTGCCTTCGGCTCAGGTCATGATGCCTGGGTCCTGGGATTGAGCCCTGCTCCATGGGGAGCCTGCTTCTCCCTCTGCCTCTGCTGCTCCCCCTGTTTGTGCTCTCTTTCTCTCTGCCAAATAAATAAATCTTTAAAAAAAGCAACTTAAAAAAAAAGATCATAAAGAAGAGAAAATACATTTATAGTACTGTACTGTATTGAAAACAATCCACATGTAAGTGGATCCACGCAGTTCAAACCCATGTTGTTCGAGGGTCAGCTGTAGATTGAGGTGATGGCATGTACAACAGTGTGAATATACCAAATGCCGATGTATTATGGTTAAAATGGTGAATTTTATGTTATGTGCATTTTACCACAATTTTTATAGTCACAAAGTCACATATGAGATTTCTTTTTATACATGGCCTTTTGTTTATCTTGGAGTTTCTAGTTATTATTTTGCATTGCTTTCCTTTATTATGTTCTCAAGTTTTTCAAATGCTCTCAAACATTAGGTGTTCTATTGTGCCCCACATTCTCCAAAAAAACCTTTCCTTCACAGCGCTCATTCTCCTGGTCCAAGCTAGGTTAATTTCTCTGCTACACGGAAATTCCCTTAACCTACCTCCCTCTGCACCTTGACTGAACCTGTTTCCCTTTGCCTTTTCTTTTTCAGTTCTTTAACTTTAGCGTAACTTCAGGTAATGCTGAAAATGTTTTAATTCAACCTGAAAACTACTAATTTGCCTTGATCCAGATTAAATATGCTTTTCCTTTGTCTGCAGTGTAGCTTTTGATTTTTGATATTTTGTACGTTACTTGATTTTTTTCTCAAGAGTTATTAGATTCTTTTATTATTCACAGTATTCTGAAATTTCATTATGATGTGCTGGACACAGATCTTTCTTCATTTATTCATTTGTTCATTTATTAAAGTGAGCTCTTTAAATGTGGAGACTTGTATTTTTCAACTCATAATTTTTCCTGTATGATATCTTTGCTAATTTTCAGCCCTCCATTTTCTCTAGTCTTTCTTCCCGAAGCCCTTATGTGTTAGACATAGGACATCATGTATTATTTCTCTCATACCACTGTCAATCGGTTTTATTTTTTAAGAGATTTTCTTAATCCTTCTTCCAATGACTCTATTG